AGAACCTGTAAAATACACGATGAATATGTAGTGTCAGTTATTATGCCAAGCCCATATACCTTATTCTAGCTTCCGGACATCCCATTTTATTCATTCTACTTGAGCCATACTTTGACCTTGTTATTTATTCGCTTAACAATCTAAACTGTTTTTATATGAGCGTATATGTGTGTGTCCTTCTTATCCCATTAATCACACGTCTATAGCTTTATTTTGTCTGACTATAAATATTGAGTAACTCTTGACTAAAATGGAGTTGGCTTCCCAGCCATCTTCCATGCGTGTCATTCTGCTTTGCTATGTTTTATTCGCTTCATGTACGAAATATATGTATTCTCAAGTCAATTCTCGTTATTCGACTTATTTAATTCCGTTATTGGATAACGCGATTTAAGTCGACGATGATATACGAGAATAGGCGATAACAATCATTCGTACGATCTAGGAGTCAGATTATCGGGCCACTAAAAATAACACTGAGCTACCTGTCGTCCAGACACATAATTACTTAGGACTCATCGTTAGCCAAGACCTAAAGACTACTACACACTGCCGTGCAATAGCCGCCAAAGGTTTTAGAACCTTATGGTCAATACGTAGGGCTTTTAGTCATGTCGACGCTAAAACGTTTTTGACTTTGTATACAGTGTTCCTACGTCCTAAGCTTGAGTACTGCATACAAACGGCTAGCCTCTGCTTAAAAAAAGACTGTGAGTTTCTGGAAAAGGTTCAGAGAACAGCAACTAAACTGATTCCCGGAATTGCGAAGCTTCCATATGATGCTCGACTGGCCAAGCTAAACATTTTCCCGTTGTTATATCGTAGAACTAGAGGTGACTTGATTACAGTTTCCAAATTGCTTAGTGCCAAATTTGCACCTGATGTGCCCTCATTTTTCTTGTCTTCCAAAACAGATAATTTACGAGAACACTCCAGAAAAGTCCACAAGCCTAGAACAAATTACTTGTCAGCTGACTATCGACTTTCCCATCGAATCATCAACGAGTGGAATTCATTACCTCAGCACGTGATTGAGGCTTCATCCATCGACTCTTCAAAAGAAAGTTGGATCAACTGAGGAACCACCATTGCCAGGACTAACACAGGCTATCAAGCCTCCTGTCCTTTCCAAACTGAAACTGAAAATCTCATGATAATATCTGCATCGTTGTTTTTACTTAAAAAAAAACACATCAAGAAGGAATACACTGATGTTTTTATGGTTACTAAACATCTACTATTGGCTAATAACATCATGATGTGAACATTTAATTACCACTAATTAACTAATCAATATGACAGTTAGTTGGATAAAATTGATATCAATATTTCAATTGAGCTATTACAATATCCATTCAACCAATCAATTAAAATAGACTGATCATAAAACTTGGACTTTTTTTATTGTTTTATAATAAATCTCAGTAATAATTTTAAGATTGATAATAATAGAAACATTATCGATCGTTTTCTTTTTTTTTTGTTACTAACCCACTTGTATCATATGGGTAAATGGTAATGACAACATGATTTGGACTTTTCGTAGGATAATTATTAATGATGACTCATTTTTCTTTAAAAAATACAGTAGAGAGTAGTTTAATGTTTATTCATATCTATGTTATTGAAATTATCTTATTAAATAGAATAGAATATATTCATTCATGTATTATAGAATCAGTCATATTTTGAATGTAGATATTTAGATATAGTTGGAAGAAGAAAAAACATGTTATAACTTGACATGTTAACGTTCAGTTTTGGCTAACCCGATTAATATACAGATATAATATTAACATTTGTCCTTAACATGTTTCCATTTTACAAATAATAATAATAATAACAAACACATATGGTTTTATGAGAGATATGGTTGATTTAAAAAGCACTTTCTGGTATACAAATAATAACTTATACTTAGTTGCTAAATGGTTACAAGTTAGATATCATACAGTGAATTCGACTGACCTTGACAGATGGACAAACAACACAAATAAATAAATTCATTTCTCAATTTAAAGCGCTTATCGGTCTTAGCATAAGAGGAATATCCAAAAAAAATGTTTCAATTGGATTAGAATATGTCAGATGTGAGACAGTTTCCTGCAAATGTGACTAGAAGATAATTTCTCTAAATATTTGCTAATTAGTTGAAAGTAAACAGGTAAATTACAAGATACAGGATCAATGGTCTGAAATGAATATTCTGTCTGTAAGACCTGAAGGTACTGAATTCGACCACTTTTAGGAGGTTGTGTATATGCACGGCCACTGAGAAGTTTTATATTAAGAAGAAACGTCTGTCCAGTGCTTCCTGTTTATTTTAATAGTTGATTAATTAATATCAGTTTGTAATATTCAAAAATCTTCAGAGTCTTATATAAAGGATTACTTTTAATCGTAACGTCAGTATCGTTATTGATGTTGTTGTTGGTATATACTTTGGATGGGTTATACACATTAGTGAAAAACCATATTATAAATATACGTCAGTGACTATTGATTACATTGATTATTTATCAATGGAATAAACTATTCACTTTGTACTATACCAATACGTATTAATATTATCGAGTGTTTCACATTCATTACTAACGATTACAGTAGTGTCAAAAATTGGATGATGTACCAACAAAGCAAACCAATCTATTTGCAGCTTTTTCCCTAAATGACTACTTTCATTGGTACCCACTATGGTTGCTCTTTTTTTTACCGTTGGTTAAATTTTTGCTCGATACCTACTTTTAAAGATAAGAGTTTTGTAGTTTGACATTTAGGGGTTTGATCATATACCTGAAAAAAACAGTTATCGACCCAGAGTGTACAGATAACATGGATCGGTTTCGCGATGATGCTAACTGAATACAGATACTTGCGAACGCTTTAAGTGATAATGAAAAAGTATGTTTGGAATATGTGTCGGTTTCTTTTTAAACGGAATAGGTTCTTTTTCAAAGCATCCCAGTGAATAGTCTAAAGATATATGTTATAATTTTGCATTTTTCAATACGATTCATGCTCCCCTCGTGTAAGTTCCCCCTAACATTTGTATTATTTCATTTCAGCTATTCATTACTAAAAGTTATTTGACCATATAAAATTGGTGAGAATAAAGCTTCTCGTTTTCTATAACTTAGGCTTTCGATAAGAAAACAAGTGATAAATTCTCATACTTGCAAAATTACGAATAAATAATACATTTTATAAGGCTAACACATCTTAAATATACAACAGTAGTGAGTTTTAACTCTATACATTTAAGATATTGATGCCTCAATGGTACCAAGTTAAACTGAAGTGCCATAGAGTGCACATATACTCCTATCATTCATCAATTGTTTGATAAGTCTTTATATGGATGACTGTATAGACATCACTATTGATAATCATAATGTTTTCTGCGTATATCAATATTTTACAATACTGGTATTTTATTACTCTGTAAAAATTCCATATTCTTAATTCATAAGATCAATCAATAATAATTGGATGCCGACTCAGTGGTCTAGTTGGTTAAGCACCTGGCTCGCTACTGATACGTCCTGGGTTCGAGTCCCGCGAGGCGCGGTCGTGGATGCGCACTGCTGGGGAGTCCCACAATAGGACGAAACGGCCGTCCAATGCTTCCAGGTTTTCCATCATGGTCTAGCTTCAATTGACTTATGATCTCAACTGTTGAGATTTTTCAATAATCATTATAACCATTATGAACAGATTGTAAAAACTAAAAAAGGCCAATATCTGACATCCTTAATTTATCACTATCTAATAAGATTAAGGATGATCAATCATATCACAGAAAAATAATCAGGGCTTCATTTACATATGTTTCATCAATGATTGGTTTAAAAGTTGACTGTCCCACCTCCATAAACTATAATTCAATTAACCAATAAGTTTAGTCAATTAGATTACAAACTATAAAATGAATGTTATTTGATGTTTATTAGTCCGCTTTAATAACCAATCATAGTATAGGTATGTGAGGTCTCTAAATTTTGATTGGTCGAACGGCCGTTAGAAGTATGTTAGGCCAACCGGAAATATCGAATCTAAAAAGGACTGTATATAGAATGCTTGTTTATATCTGTCTACCTTTTAACCACATAATCATCATATAGAAGGCCTTGAAATTTATTTTTTTTTTCTTCATTCTCTACCCCTAAATAAATTTTATATCCACCCCCTTTTTTTATTAATTTAGACAGTTTGACAGGTCATTACACAAGCACAGATATTCAATTCACTAGTATTCAATGCGATAAATTTCTGACAATTTTTGACAGTTTGACGGCATTACCAGATAAACTAGCCTAATTTATCTCGTCAAGAATACTGCGTGACTTACTCTCGTGTGTGAAAAATTATTTCTAAGATAACCAGTAATGAATGATATGAGCAATTTTATATGGCCTTCAAGTTGACAGATTTATCTATCAAATTATAATAATAATAAAATCATCAACATCGTAATAATCGCCATAGAAAACAAAAAAAAGTGAATATCCTGTTACAACATTATCCATTAAAACATCACCATTATTGATCGATTGCCCAAAATTGATTGATAATCATTATTTGTGACGCACATTATTCAAATTTAAACGCACAAATAACTACATAGATAGATATTTCCCATTTCATTGATCGATTAATTGTTCTACAGGAAATACAATATCAAATCTTATTCACTGGAACTTTCGAATTCATTGGATTATTGTTGTATCTCCTTATGAGGACATCAACGTATTGTGGAATATGAAATTGATACACAAATCAATATTAATGGATTTCTTTTTGAAAACTGACTATATTTAATCTTGAAAAGATACATTATTGATTTCGGATTTATATATATATTTTTTTGTTGTGTTCAGTATTCTCACTATATACCATCGTCTTTTAGATATTAAAACAAAATAATATTGAGTATCATACATTAACTGTGGATTTAATTTATTCCAACATCTGAAAAGTAACATTTATACACGAGTACCATAATGAATTCAAGTAGTAGTAATAATAATAATAATACTAATAATAGTAAACCTCGGCAGGTAAGTAAAAAAATTTATATTCTACTTGTTATTCATTATGTTGAATTAGTAAAGTTTATTCACAAGTCAGCCAGTTTTAATAATTAGGCTATCATATAATATTAGGTTGATTTCAAAAATTGAATGATCTAAGTTGAAAATGATCAATATACATTAAGTCATATTACTCGCTTTCCTCCTCTCTCCCCTCTCTCTCTCTCTTTCTCAAAATGTTGTGTACCCTGAGTAAATGATTTATCACAATGATTATTCATTATTCATTCAAATCACTCTCAACTATAACTAGCTAATTAACTTTATTTATAAAAGAAAACATAATCAGTTTATTCATGTTATGAGTACATAGGGAAATAGAGATATGCATAGTGTAAATGTTAATTATTTGCTTCAATTCATTAGTGATTAATCGTTTAGAATTGACAATTGAACTGATATTCAATTTTGACTACCGATACTGATTTACATCACTTATTGTCGACTAATCAATCGGAAATTCTTGTTGTAAAATGGTAGTAAATATTTATTTACAATTGAAGTATACATAATTAGATGTTAGTCAATTCAATATTACAGTGCAATTGTTTATTGTATAATTAGTGTTTTATTAAAAGAAACTAGTCAACAGTATTATGTAGTGAACAAGAACTCAGGTGGAAACAACTTTCGTAAATGAAAACCATACATTAAATAATTCATTTGCGCATCTTCTATCATTTGTCTTTTACATCCTTCATGACTCTTTCAATTTCTTTCGCTCTTCTTCAGTTCAATCTTCTCAAACTTCTTTTGACAAACATTCCACCTCCAGTTTGTGTTACATACTATTTATATCGACAGATATAATTATACATCACAAATGTACCCGTGATCTAGTATAATCACAAAGTCAATTAAATTAATTATAATCGTAATTTTTTATCAAAAACCGAAAATGAGGGAATATTTCACTGATAATTAAGTAAATGCTCATTAGGAATTTATCCAACTTTGTTCAGTCGAATTCGATGAGGATTAATGATTTTTACTAATTGTAATCATCACAGTTTTATATGGTGTTAGTTATTGCACGAGGGTCAAACCAAAACGTGGCATCAATCCTCGAAGTCACTAACTTCTGATCTTAGCCATGTTGATAGATGTAGACTATTTGGGGTTCGTGTGACTATCGTAACCAATGGTTGGGTGATATGGCGTTGGTGTATACACTCTCTGTCTTCCCTCAAACCGTGAGAATAAAACCACTTCATATCTTTCTACGAAATAATTCTTTTTCCTCGTATCATATTTTTATATGCAATCTTTCTTTTAATATATTACTACCACTGAATTAACTGGTTCTATGAATTTGTTGTTTATATTGTATTAATGAGGTATGGTAACTTGTACCGATGAATATATTTGCCTGATCCTGCGTTGTAGATGATTGACTGAACTATTAAAACAGTTAAATCAGTGGTTATATAGAGTAGACAATTTGCACATTACTATTTTACATCTAAGTATGCAGCATAGACCACTAACGAGGAATCTACAAACAACTTTTTCCTGGGTTGTCTTTCACATTCGTTGCCAAGTCCTATTCATTCTCTTGATATCTGACTTCGATCCCCAGCGCCATTTGTTCTGTTCTACGTTTTACGTTTTTGTATAGGCTTATTTATTTTGAAACTTATTTATTTTGGTTTAAGGGAATATGTTTCATTATGACTGAAATCTAAGTACACCAGTTTACATTTGCACTTGCATATAACAGAAACTGTAATGAAATATAATAATGTTGTATAAGTTTCATTCAGTCATTAAAAATTGAACAATTTGGCTTGATTAGATCACTCTAAATATGTATATTTAGACTTTACCGTTGTCATGTATACAATTACAGGGCTTTTAAGCAAGAAATACAATTAGGAATATTTAATTGTGCTTTTATTTGGTAAAGTTAGACCGTGACAAAGTGTTTCATTTTATTTTAGAACTCGTCTTTTGAATTTATGTGTTATATCTCAGTATTGATGTTCGCACTGAAACTCGAATTCCAAGAAATCCTAACTAATCATCTATGTTTGTTTGTATTGATTGTAAAGATAATACAAATTTCTTTCTACTAATATTTTACTAGTAGTCTAATTGATACCCCATTTAATTATTTCAATATATATTTTATTTAAACACATAAACATTTGTACAAGAAGGCACCAAATACATGCGCCATATGTGTGAAGGCATCCAGACCGAAGCAGATGGTTTCCTTAGCAGGCCACTCTCCAAGCCTTCGACCCTCGGGTCTAATCCATGAAGTAATGGAGCAACATTAGGTGATGCAGTCACATGGTAGCCGGTGATCAACAATAGGTTCATACATAAATTCCTGAAGCCATGTGCACCATTGGTTCAGAATCAGGGTTTTCAAACTCCTTTAGGTGTATCCTCCGTATCCACCAACCCTGTTAAAGCGCCTGATATTCGCTTTTCGTCCTCACTTTGTAAAGAACATCCCTCCGTGAGAAGGCAGTGAGTGGGACCTCCCTGAGAGTGGCTGTATACGTATGACCATGTATAAATTTTGAGGATAGAGAACTCTTTCCACGCTCGTCCGTACCAAGGCATTTGGGGCAATGATCAGTCTCATATTTGCATATATGCACCTGTGCGGATTGCCTCGATATTGCCTTCATTCAAAAGCATTATGAGCAGAGATGATTGGTGGCTAGCAATGAAATCCAGGACGCGTGTTTCGTCTTATTTGGGACTAGTCAGCTAGATGTAACTGCATACCAGAGTTGATGTTCACTCTGACACTCAAAACCGGTACCGTTCTCTTCAGAAGCCATCTCGTTATCCACTTATAGTTTATCCTAATAAATAATCACTTAATTTGTTGATAGTAAGCCACTTTATTTATAATAGTTAGTCACATTGTTTTAACACATTCGTCATCAACAATTTTCATTGTTTTTACACAATAATAATCATTAAAATTAATTATTCCATATTCTTTTAAATATTTAAGACATAATTTACATTTTGAAGTGCTGAAAAAATAACTGTCATCCTCTCTCATTTATATTACTAATGATTTGGTTAATGTAATAAAGTCTTTAAGTTAATAGTTATAATTCTTCCAGATCTTCAAATGATCATGAACTGTATGAAATTAGTTTTAATGAGACATAGATGTATAAATCTTTTACTGGCTTATTTTAAAGTACTATTTCTTTCATTATACTAACACCATGACCTTATTACTCGTTTGTCTGATTTAAGTAGATTATTAGCTTTGTTAAATTCTTTTCTTAATTTACTTAATGAAGAGTTTACAACTTTGGTTGATACGTAACGATACAAAACCGTGTGTTATTTTTTTGTTTTGTATCTAACCAATTAATTGATTGAGTAATCCTTATGAAAAAACGCATACCTTAAATTTAAATATACAAATTTGTACAGATTATGTACGTTCATAAGTTATATAACTAGTTCATGGAGATCGACTAGAGAGATTTATACTTTCTCATATGACCCAAATTACTTAATTACTTACTTACGCCTCTTACCACTCGTCGAGGGGCATAGGTCATCTATCAGCATTCTTCATCTAACTCTGTCCTGGACAATCCTTTCCAGTTGCTATTCATCCTTTTCATTTCTTCTTCCGATTCTCGACGTATTGTGTTCTTTGGTCCTCCTCTTTTTCCTTTCCTTTCAGGAATACGAGTTAGCACTTGCCTCGTGATCCAGTTTGATGATTTATTCAATATGTGTTTTATCCACCTTAGTCTTCTCTTTCTAATTTCCTCTTCAGATGGAAGCTGGTTTGTTCTCGCCCATATCCGGTTAACGGACATGGAGTATCTTGAGTAGACAATTGTTCATAAATACTTGTACATTTTTGTTGACGATTGTGGTAGTTTTCCAACGTTTCATCTCCCTGTCCAATAGAATTATCTTAACGTTCATATTGAAGATTCTGACTTTAACCGATAGTTGTTTTAAGTTCAATATATTCTTCAACTGATAATGCCGCTCAGATTGATGAAAGTTTCCACCTCTTCCAGAGCTTCTCTATGACTGAAATAGACAGTCGATGAATTCTTGAATGAATGCCATAATTTAATATGACCACCATTATCCTTCTTTCATTCTATCTATATGTTAATCATCAAGATGTTGTCAGTCCTATAAAAGGATCACAGATACATTGTTAAGTCATCCGGCTTATAATCAGTAACGATGAAGCATGTTCATTCACTCATTGTTTTCTAGATCAATATACATTTCATTCTATTTACACGAATCATTTTGTTATTATTACTAACAATACTATTACTAATGTGGTATTCATCTTCCTTTGGTAATGTATTCTGGCAATTTGCCCCTTTATACGTTTAATGATTGTAGCTGTGCATGATTATAATAATAATAAAGAATAAAGAATACCGTATATTGTTTGTTTATTATTTCAATGTAATCAATTCCTTTTAATGAGGATATTAAAGTAAATATGTTAATATAAATGGTATCTCTCCTAAGCAATATGTATAGACATGCATATACTACTATTGAAACTACTTATATAAGCATAATTATCATTTAAATAAAGTTGTGTATGTCACACCTGTTCATCATCCAATTATAATGTGTACAAAACACACATATGTGTTTATATTATTATATTTGTTGAACTTTACTATTCTCATCTTTGTTATTATCTACGTTGCTGAGTCCATTTCCAATATGAAAAGATCAACATTATATTCCATTATTCACTTTATTATTCATACCTTCTTATTTGTTTCCTCTAAGTGGTACTGTTTTTCTAATATCTTATCCATACTCAAGCATACACTATTTAAGCATATACATGTTAGTTACTAACCAAAATTAATTGATCTAATATAGATATCTTCTTTTTATGATATACTCATCCATCTGTTCCAAGTCTAGTTGTCTGTTGTTGTCGTTGTCGTTGTTTTTTCTTGACAATTTATGAGTACAATTGG